CAATCTCAGCTCATTACAAGCTCCGCCTCCCGGGTTCACGCCATTCTCCTGCCTCAGCCTCCCAAGTAGCTGGGACTACAGGTGCCCGCCACCTCGCCTGGCTAGTTTTTTTGTATTTTTAGTAGAGATGGGGTTTCACTGTGTTAGCCAGAATGCTCTCAATCTCTTGACCTTGTGATCTGCCTGCCTCGGCCTCCCAAAGTGCTGGGATTACAGGCGTGAGCCACTGCACCCGGCCTATATCTTCTAAATTTTCTAAAATAATCACAAATTACCTTTGGAATCAGAAAAACACATTCGACCATGGGGAGAAAGAAACTGACTACACACAGTGCTGAAGGCCTTTTCCAGGCCTGAAATCCTGGCTTAGGACATTTTCTAAAAATACTTCTAACAATAACGTTTAAAATATCCTTTACTTGGCAACATTTGGAAAACCTTTCCCCAGGCCTTGCTTCGTGTACCTTTCTTTCTCGGTATCTTCTTTCTCTATCTTCATCTCCTCTTTCAGAGTCTTCATCTTTCTCTTCACTTCTTACTTTACTTACTACAAGAAGTAAAACATATTTTTAATACTCCCAAATGTTAGCACATCAAAAAGTTCTTTTAACATCTTGCTACGGACGGTACTGCACATTTTACGCTTATTAATATGTATTTAAAAATATTCTTCAACTAAAACACACGTCTCCAATTCAAGAATGAAGAGTTCTAGTATCAAATTTAAAATGAAGAAGGAGATGAACATGGCAATCTAAGTTTGGATCTGCGTCCCCACCCAAATCTCATGCTGAAATGCAGTCCCCAGTGCTGAAGGTGAGACCTGGTGGGAGGTGACTGGATCATGGGGGTGAATTTCCCCCGGTGTTGTTCTTGTGATACTGAGTGAGTTCTCACAAGATCTGGTTGTTTAAAAGTACGCGGCACCTCCCCACTCTCTCCCTTCCTCCTGCTCCGGCCCTGTAAGACATGACCGCTTCCCTTCACCTTCCCCTAGGACTGTAAGTCTCCTGTGGCCTCCGCGGCCACGCTTCCTGTACGCCCGCACAACTGTGAGCCAGTTAAATCTCTTTTCTCTATAAATTCCCCAGCCTCGGGTGTTTCTTTACGGCAGTGTGAGGACAGTGTGAGGACAGAGTGAGGACAGTGTGAGGACAGTGTGAGGACAG